ACCTTAAAAGTCTTTTAAGATCTTTCAACAGAGAGATATTAATTTAGGTATTTATGACCTGAGTTGGAAACCTGCTGCTTGCAGGCCCAGTGTGGAAGACATCACATGACTTGGAAAGCCCCTTGACTCCAATATTCACACTCGGTCAATACAAATGCAACACTAATATCTCTAGTTAATTCAGCTCCTGTTTTTTTTTTTCTTCCTTCCAATGTCAGGACACTTAAAAGTGTATCTTGCATTTCTATCGCTCTTGTTTTTACAGCAAACCTCAACAGGATAGAAACTTAAGCATTCAACTTCTTCCTGTTGGTAATACGATACTCCCAGTGTGCAGGGATTTCTAAACCAGGAAGTTCGGAAGCTGTCTTTAGGGTATTGCAGAAAGAAAAATATAAGTATGTGATAATAAGAGGTAATATGGGACCTGAGAATGCTGGAAGAACTTTCAGACACTCCACATAAGAAATTATTTTTCTTCTGAAATTTAAAATAAACATATTATTCCGTTACATTCTCACATTTACGGTATTGAAATACTCTGGACCTAATCCTGCAGTTCCTGTAAATTAATGAAGTCTAGAGAACAGCACAATGTAAATCAAATTCTCTTGAAATGACCATATTTATGTAGCTGACTGTGATTTTCAATGTAGCATGTGAATGCATCATGCTAGAGGTTAGGCAATTACTTCTCGTTCACAAGACCAGATGTCCTTAGTACATTGTGAATGGCAATAACGTGGCTGACGTGCACTGGTATGGACACTCTAAAAGTTGATAACTCAAGAAAGCTGCTTGTAACAATTTGAAGTGCTGAGGGCTGGAAATCTCCATAAATAAATTCAAATTTTATTTGTTCAAAGTCAAAAAGTTTTGGCTCAAAAGGTTAAACAAAGAGTTATACCAAGAGTTACAACCAACTCTGATCCCAAGGGAAAAAGATCCGATTCATTCAAAGTTATATGGCTCTGAGATTTTTCATTATTTCTCAAAAAACTTAATTGGATTGCAAGCTGGTTAAAAGTTGCTGTCACTTCTGGTGATAACTTATAAGCAGTCAGACCAAATAGAGAACAGAACAGGAAAACTAATAAATAAATAAAAGCAAGTGAGCAAGCTCCCACAGGCATACAGCTGTCCCAGATGCCTGAGAAATACCCCCCCTACACATAAGGCAGGACATGGACATTAGATGACAAAATGACTGGCCAATATAAGTTTTTTAGAACTGTAACTGAATTTAATAAATTCACATCAAATTTTTCATCTGTCCTGAAATATAGAAATTCATCAATCAGGAAGAACTTGCATGGTGTTTTCTCCCTCAGGATAAATGATGTCATTATTCTATTACTCTGACATTGCACAGCTACTTGTACTACTGCGATGGGGATGTAAAAGTACCGTTATTCTGATTAGACAGTTTTACACTCCACTTTTCAAGACATAAGATTATAAAGCTTTTTTTTCTTTTTCCATTATCAGACAGCTGAACAGAAAACATTACTGACTGACCTTTGTATTAATGAGGCTAAATAAAAACACAGATGGCTTCTACTGACTGAAGGAACTGAAAGTAATGTGCTATCTTAAGCCACTGTCCTGCAAAATCAGGGACCAGGATAAACAGAAATCTGATTAATCTAGCTGAGTAAGAAAGCTCAGATAAACATATCTTCTCTCTTTCTGAATTCTTGTCTACATTAAAAAATTGACTCATTTTAAAGGATAGTTGTCAAGAATACGTCCCCTTGAAGTAGTACTTGAATTTTTCTACGCAGTGATATACAACCATATCAGAAAATGTTCTCATCACATGACTTTTAGGAAAAATGAGAGTGAGAGAGTCCAAGGACACAGACATGTGAAGTGGAATTTCAGGTGCAAGCCTTTCAGTGGCCCCAAGAATTACAAAACAAGAACAAGAAAGAATTATCATGTGACTTGTGTCCTGTGTCTTTCCCTTGTCAAACATATTTGCATTCAAAATGAACATGAGCAACCTGGAAATGTTGTGGTCTGGTATGTTATTTCTTTTCAACATGAGATTTGCAAAAAAACCCAAAATGTTTGTATTCATTTATAAAGGTTTCATAGGTTCAGAGAGTTCCATTTAGAAATTATCTCAATTAATCCTCATTTAACAATAAAAAAATAAAATTGAAATAGTACATAATGAGTATGTTTTCCTTAGAAACTTCTGACATAGAGTCATAGAATGTCAGGGGTTGGAAGGGTCATATAGAAAATAGTTGAAAATTCACTTTAGATGCAGATTGCATCTGATTAGAATGCTGAAAAGTGCTCTGAAAAAAAAAAATCTATTTAAATGGAACCTGAAACCCCAGCCTGTACAGAGAGTGTTGAAACTCCACTGCACTTTTGCATTGATGGATAGAGTTTTAAACATTTCATTATCAAGCAGGCAAAGAAATTATTGAGCAGAAAAGTTCTGGTAAATGTAAAATTACAATTAGGATTGTTCTATATAATTTCTCTTTTTAGGACTTAGTCCAATCTAGTTTTAAAACGCTTCAGGTAACAGGGCTCTTTCCATTTGTACAGACTAATAGATCTTCATTGGAACATTTTTTAAGATACATTAATTGATCTTTTTTCAGCTTCATCCAATAAGATGGTTTTATACAACCTGAGGACATAGTAAATAATTTCTTTCCCTGCTTCTCCAGGTACCCTTCAAATAACAATAAATGGTTGCAACTTCAATTTAGTCTAATTTACTTACGGATTTTTATTTCTTTTTTAAAAATTTTGCCACACATTCAACATCACATTTCTTGTCTTTATTGACAAACCAAAGCCTTCATCAAGATACTGAATGCAAAAGTGACAGCTGAGGAACATTTCAAGGGTAGGTGGGGACCACACAGGCGGGAACTATCAAAAATCACTGGTACCAAAGAAAGAGCCTGTCAGTGGGATGGAGAAAGCCTCCTGTGCAGCCTGCAGTTAGGCTGGGCCTGTTGCTTGTGCCCTGTGAGGTGGTTGCAACAAGCTGCACCTTCTGAGAGTGTTCAACTGCTCTTGACACCAACAGTTTCCAACTGAGTCTTTGGACCATTTTCTTGATGCTCTTTAAAGAGAGGTTAGCTGAAAATTGTCTTCTGATCTCTCCTTTGTTCATAATTTAATTTCATAAGTTGTCACTACCCAAGATTGATCTAGAAGGTTTAGGTGAAAATTTCTGGAGGCAATTCCTCTCTACACTACTCTTATACACTCTTGAAAGCCATTGCTCTTTTTGATGAGTTGACAGTGATCCCTCCACTTGCGCACATTCAGATGACAGATCTCCAAATGTCAAGCCTTACCCATGCCTACATAATAAAGGACTGGTCAAGTAATCATGTGGAATGAGAACTGCTTCCTGTTACTGGTGAGCAAGAAGGCAGCAGTGCTGTTTTGCGCTTGTCACATTAATCACGTTCTCATTTTGGCCAGTATTCCTAGAAACCCTCTATCATTTGCAGACCTTCCTATTGAAATTTATGGAAGGGAAAAGAAAAAAAAAAAGGAAGAAAAAAGACATAGCTATTCTATCTGAAGTCTGGAATAATTTATGCCACTATAGCAATTTACCAGCATTGATCTCTGTGTGGTAATCCACCTTACATCAGTAGAAAAGGAACAAGGATAAAACATGGTCCATGAAATTGTTTTTCACCTGAGAGTTTTTTAGACCGAATAAGCTGCAGATTGTGCTATGAGCATGTTTTCAACCATAAAACCTGACCCTTTGAAATAAGAATATGGAATCTGAAACAAAGAACTTTCAGCGGAAATGTAGAGGCAAATGGCGAAAGTCCATACAGCCACAGTAAATGAGAGATAAAAATTTAACTCACTTTTCAGAGACAAGTATGTGCAGATATAGTAGAAGATGCAGTTTGCATCTTCTAAGTATGTTTACCTTCCAGAAGACACTATATTTGGCTTAAAAGAACACTGAACTATGCTGGGTAATTTTATAACTATTTTTCCTAGCATTAATAAAAGAAAAACATGTAGAGGAACATTCAAGTAGCCCTGCTACATTCTGTGATGCTGCTGGAATAATTAAGCAAGCAGAATTAGGGCTTGTTAATTTTAGCAAATATTCTAAAGAATATTGTTCCGCCTAATACAACAATTTAGCTTAAACAACAGTGACATAATTGACAAAATTACATAATAATTACAGTGCTTTAGAGCAAGCTATATTAAGGTATGACTCATCACTCAATACACAAAAAGGTACAAAACTACGTCAAATCCAGCAGTGCAGTGCAGTATTGTGTGGTTGCAGCCAAAAATTAAATTTAAAATCAGCAATCTTTTGTTAATAAGTGGGGGGAAGAGGGGAATTAATGAAAATTATGACTATGAATTACTTTTTACTTTAATGAATTAAATTTTTAAAGTGGCAAGGAATAATTAAGATTTATACCCTTCTTAGAAAAATGTTTAATACATTTTATTATTTGAACCTCACACTTCCTCTGGCAATACTTGTAATAGTTTGCTTTATTGAAAAGTTATTCTACTCCTCAGCTGGGGAAATGATTGGTGAAGTGGAAAAGCAATGATGGAATTTTCTGAGATAATTGCATTTTTTTTATTAGAATACTTTATCAGTGATCATTTTGAAAGAAAAGCTGAACAATGTAACAATCAAGAATAAACCACATAACTTCCCATGAAACCTTTTGAATTATTTTCTATAATAGAATTTGATTGAAAACAATTCATTTTAAAAGTGTAGAGTCTGAATATACACATCTTGGACAAAACTGTATTGAAAATTTCTTCCTTGACTAAGCCTCACTTGTTATGCAAAATATATATATACCTTCTATCATTTTCCTACCTGTTAATACTTTCCTTGACAATAAAGATAGTCTCAGTTAAAGATATTATACAACAGCACAATTATCCATCCTTAGCAAAGTTGCTGTGTTAAGATTTTTCTATTGAGAAGTGTGAAAGTTTATACTCACCAGGTGTAAAATTATACCGAGCAGAAAACCCAATAGATTCCAGCTCACCATCAGCAAAAAATTTAATCCACAAGAATCTGCCACTGGATTTTATCATAGGTGGATTTTGCTGTCCACAGAAACGTCCAAGGATTGGGGAAAAGCCAAAAGGTCCATCTCGCACTTCAATATGGTCAAATTTACACTCCCAAGAAGGCTCTATGGAATATTTTTCATCAAAGTGTAGTTCAATGCATTGTCTAGGGGCGGCTAGAGAGGAAAAGAAAATTATCTTATTATTTTCTAAACCAAGACCCTTCAAACCTAAAACAAAATTAAAGAAGATTGAATGTATCAATTTTCTATGCATCCTAACATTTTGCTTAAAAATTTGTTTGAAAATTAGGACATTTATATTTGTAGAGATTTAACACCATCAGCTTACTTGTCTATGCCTTTCCTTTAAAAAAAAAAGTGTTTATGACTGCAGTTCATAGCAAAACTAAGAGAGATATCTGTGGTATAAAGAAAAATACACATTAGGACCAATTAGTTCAAACACAGATTCAGAGAATCACAGAACTGTTGGAGTTGGAAGGGACCTCTAGAGATCATCTAGTGCAATCCCTCTGCTAAAGCAGGATTGCCTAGAGCACATCACACAGGAAGCCGTCCAGGCGGGTTTTGAAGGTCTCCAGAGACAGAGATTCCACGACCTCCCTGGGCAGCCTGTTCCAGTGCTCTGTCACCCTCACAGTAAAGAAGTTCTTTCTAACCTTTCTAAGAAACTTATGCATCTGGAATAACAGTATATTCTTATATTTGGAGGGGAACGTTAATCAAAACATTTTTTTATCTAATGCTCACAAAGACGAACTAAAAAATGATCATCACTGTGCTACAGTAAGAAGGACGAGTTCGGTTCCTATATGTACTGCAGTCAATGATAGGCTTGAGTGTAATTGCTTGTACTGAGAACTACTTATCTCATTTGAAACATAAGACAAGTGTAGTGAATTCTCACTTAAGAGAGCAGATAAGGATGAAGCAAAACTAGCATCTAACTAAAGAGCAAAAAATATTCTACTGAAATTTTATAGTGGTCACTTAATTAGAAATAAAAAAAAAATCTTTATTCATAGATACTAAGGCTAGTGGCAGTCAGAATGATTACTAAACTAAATATTCTCTAGCATTTTCTGTGTAAAGCAAAGTAGTTGAACTACAGTATTATCTTAAAAGGAGAAAAAAAAAATCATAGTCTTGTCTATAAATTTTGACAGATGCAGCATCCCTGGGGCACACAGGTAGCAAAAAATGCGTGTGCCTTCAGTGTCTAGGTCATGGTGTGATACAGTCTTTTGCTGACAAAGACTTCTGCTAAGACAAGGGTCTGTAGTGTCACTGCCTGCTCTGCTTCTCCTGCGATCATGTCCTACACTTTACACATACTAGAAGACCTTGAAATTACTGTGAGCTTTGTCCATTATTTTCATGTGAAAACACTTAAGATAAAACTTTAGGCTGAGTTCGCAAGCTTAACACGGAAACAGTATCCTTCTATTTTTTTCCTTGAGAAACATAACAGAAAAACTGACAGTGTGACCAGAAACTAGATCTTGTATGTATTTTGAAGTGTTTTAAATTGAAGCTTTTAGATGAGCTCATGATTCAAGTAAGAAGGGAAATTATTTAAGATGAACTAAATAAGAAGACATTAGGTAAATCTTTACATAAGAGCACACAGTCAGATCCCATTTACAACTATTTCATGTAAATAAATGCAGACTCATTTTATAAGCATTGAAGAAGTAAATTAATAAAGCACATTATTTGAGAAGTTAATTTTAATAGCTTTGCTTTCAATGTTAATATAATTGAGTAATATTTATTGAAATATTCAATTTAATGTAAGAAAGAAACCTTATCTACTGTTTGCAATTCAAAGAAATCCACTTTTAGGGAAGTGCTTACAAAAGACTTTCTGTTTTCTACACTAATTTACAGGAAATGTTGATCTTTGTGCTCATATAAATTCAATAGCAAAATCAAACCTAACACTTTACATGTAATTGCATCAAATTCACAGTCCCTGAAAATTAAACTGCCTTCATAGAATCATAGAATAGTTTCAGTTGAAAGAGACCTTCAAGATCATCAATTCCAACCTTTGTCCTAGCCCTATCAGCACCACTAAACCATGTCACTCAGCACAGCATCCACCCATCGGTTAAAAACCTCCAGGGATGGCAACTCAACCACCTCCCTGGGCAGCCTGTTCCAATGGCTGACAAATCCTTTCACTAAATAAATTCTTCCTGATATCCAGCCTGAACCTCTCCTGGAACAATTTAAGGCCATTTCCCCTTGTCCTATCACTCTCCACTAGGGAGAATAGACCAACGCCTGCCTTGCTACAACTTCCTTTCAGGTAGTTGTAGAGAGCGATGACGTCTTCCTGCAGTCTCCTCTTCTCTAGGCTAAGTAACCTCAGATTCCTCAGCTTTTCCTCATACAACTTCTGTTCTAAGTCCTTTACTAGCTTGGTAGCCTGCCTCCGTACCCCCTCCAGTGCCTCAGTATCCCTCCTGTAGTGAGGGGCTCAAAATTGGACACAGTACTCAAGGTTAGGCCTCATCAAAACCACATACAGGGCCATGATCACCTCCCTGCTCCTGCTGACAGCTCTATTCCTGATCCAGGCCAGGATGCCGTTGGCCTTCTTAGCCACCTGGCCACACTGCTGACTCATGTTCAGCCAGCTGCCCATCAACACTCCCAAATCCCTCTCTGCCTGGCAGCTCTCCAGCCACTCCTCCCCAAGCCTGTAGCACTGCTGAGGGTTGCGACCAAGTGCAGGACCCGACATTTGGCCTTATTGAGACTCATGTGATTGGCCTTGTCCCATACTTTAAAAGTATGAAAAAAACTTTCTAAATTAAAATCAGATAATAAAGCTTGTAAAGAAGATCTTATTAATGCTGCCCTTGGTGAGGTCTGAAGACCAAAGTAAAACTTTAAGATTACAGTAAAAGGCTGAACAAATGAAAGGCATCATCGATTAATTTTAGTCCAATATTTCTACCCTTGACTTCACATATTTATAAAAAATACTGGTTTAAACTTAACTAAGCAATACTAATCACCATTCACACAGAGTCAGATATCTGAAAATCCATCCTAACAACACTTTAAATTAATCTTACAAATGCTCATTAAGTCTTGAAATTCTTATATACTCACTCTTCAAATATTATGCTGTTGATCTGCCTAAAGCTTTACTGTAATGTTTTAATATTGCAAACCAGATACGAAGATGAATTCTGCTAGTATTGTCAGACAGCATCATACCACAATGTATGGCTCTTCTGCTTTCCACTGCAATCACAGTATCACAGTATCACAGTATGCTAGGGATTGGAAGGGACCTCAGAAGATCATCTAGTCCAACTCCCCTGCCAGAGCAGGAACACCTAGATGATGTTACACAGGAAGGCGTCCAGGCAGGTTTTGAATGTCTCCAGAGAAGGAGACTCCACAACTTCTCTGGGCAGCCTGTGCCAGTGCTCTGTCACCCTCACTGAGAAGAAGTTTCTTCTCAAATTTAAGTGGAACCTCTTATGTTCCAGCTATCATTGTTTGCCACCGAGAAGAGCCTGGCTCCATCCTCGTGACACTCACCCTTCATATATTTATAAACACTAATAAGGTCACCCCTTAGTCTCCTCTTCTCCAAACCATCTCCCTCAGTCTTTCCTCATCATCTCCCTCAGTCTTTCCTCATAAGCTCCCTCAGTCTTTCCTCATAAG